TTGTGAATGAACTGTTTTCTTGACGATGGAAATCCATTGATAAGAATGATTTTTATCATGACAATAATTCACAACAAAGTCTCTGGTAGTTTAGTTATGTGTAGTTTCAACTCAAGTAACCTCCTTAAACTTTTGCCTCTCTATCATTTTCCTCTTCCCATCATCTTCAGAATCTTTATCGTCTCTTTTGTATTCTTACTGTTATTATTATTTGGATTTCGTATTTATATATTGACCCTTTAGTTTATATAACACGAAGGCTAATTAAGTCTTTCCGGTCAACAGAATCTATTGTTTGCTCTTGATTTCTTGTCGGTTGAAACTCTATCACTTTAACTTGATTCCAATTCTGTGTCTGTGTTATCATGATTCTGATTTTTATTACACATCATGAAAATAGATACAATAACAAGTAATAAAAGTCAATAATAATATTTATTGTCAATGAGTAACTTTCCAATTCCTTAAGGTTATTTATTGATTCACTTATTGTTTTCATGACAATGTTACTTAATCGTTGCTCAATTGTTATATTAATATTTTCCTCATGCAAACGGTTAAAACTTTTATATTATAATAGATTAAAGATCTAATTAAGTTAATCTGAAATTTACATTATAATCTTAATCCAATTCCAATGTATTGAAACTTATTTCAACTCTGAACTTATTGTGGCTCAGTTACGATCAATTCACTAAAAATAACTTCAAGAATTGAAAATTCTGTGTAAATGAAAATTCAATCATTAAGAATCCTGATTACCTGTTGTTTCATTCTGATTGTTCATCTTTGATTCTCTAACCTCTTATTCATCCAATCAGAATAACATTATCTTGATGATTTTATATTAATATTGATTATCAAACATCTAGTTGTATATAATCATGAATTCATTGAATGTCCATGATTATAAATGAAAAAGATGGATAAATATCCGCATCATTATCAGTATATTCAGATTACTGGATCGTTTGATATTCACATTATTATTTTTCATTTACCTTCATGGTAATGATAATATTTTTGTTTTTACCTTTGTATATTCAGCTTATACTCAGACTCCATGAAGATGTGACTGAGTATATCTTATCATCATTATAAATATATTATTATCATGTTATTTATGGATTCAATAAGACTGATTATTCAGGTTGTAATATCAACATGATATTATTATTATTATTTTAATCATAAGATAACCATAAGTTCAATAACAAAACATTCAATAAGATTCATGTAGTATTGAAAAGTTGATTTATATATAATTTGGTATGAATAAAGTTAAGATAAACAATCCGATTATCAATATAATTTACTTTTTGTTGATAATTATTTCAATCAGTTTGATTGATTTATGATTGAGAATGAATTTACTCAACCAATCTCAATTCGTCTGGTGGTTATCTTGCATGAAGGATACAGGGAATTTCATAATTTTCTTCATGAAGATGAACCTAGAAGATTAAGAAGATCAATTGAAGAGTGAGTGAATGAGTGAGTGAGCAAGTGAGAGAGGGAAAGTGTTACAATTTTCACCAATCTGTCTTTCTAAATAATTCACTCACCATCCTCATCATCAGCATCTCTCTCTCTCTCTCTCTCTCTCTCTCTCTCTCTCTTCCTTTTCCTGTTATTTTCCTCTATTTTTGTCAACTCACGAAAAATTTACCACCTCACAAGAATAGAGAAGAAGTGAATTTTTTTTCTTCCTCTTCATGGAAGATAAAACTTTCCACCTCAATGATGATGAAGAAGATGAAAACTTTTCATCCTCTTTCTGACTCTCAACTTTTCTTCCTCTGACCTTTTCTTCGATACATCTATCAATCTCTCTTTCTTACTCTCTCGCTCTCTCTTGTAAATATGTTGTTCAATTCCAAAACTCCAGTTCCATCCTGAGGAAATACTTATCTTAGAAGTTTCAATCTCTCCATGTAAGGGAAAAATTTCACCATCTTTCTTGAAACTCCTTAACCTCTTCTTACCTTGGCCCAGTGAGTTTCTCATAATTCAAGCTTCATTTAATTCAATATTGTAACAATTTCACCTTTAATAGCATTTCCTCAAAAACCTCATCACACAAACTTAAACCTCATTGAATTCTGAGCATCACAAAGTAATCATCAATTTCTGGTTCAACTTTGAAAATGTAAATATCATAACAATAACAATGAAAAAAATATTAATCCCAAAAAAAACTCTAGATAAAAACACAGAATTGGACAATTGTAACTGTCCTTTAATTTAATGTATAATTAATGATAACTTGTTAGTTCATTACTTTAATTATAATACAATTACAAATATTATTAAATTACTTTGTAATTTATTCACAGACAAATTATTTCAATGAAAATTTTAGGGTTGAACTTGAAAAAAAAACTCATTAGATTATTAAAAAGTTTTCACTTAACCATTAACATGTCATGAGGATTTGATTATGATTAACAAATATGATTATTGATTCAATGAGCAGTAAATGACATTAAAATGTTAATTGTTGGATTAATCTATTAGCTTTACGATCTAATTATTTCCCCTCATTCCTATTTCATCATGAGAATCGATACAACCTCGATTATCACTATTCCATTTTTGCCTTTTCTCACAATTCTCATAATAAAAACAATAACAATGCTCATATTAGATTGGATTCCAACCCAAATAACAGTTGTATAAGTTGATTCTAATCATTGGATTGTTCAAAATTAGATTAGTTGATTACAATCATTCAATATTTAAAGTCATTAACAGGGTAATCAGTTGAATAGACACAATGACAGGAAAGCAAAGGGGAAAAAAGCTCCAACTCAAGGTACATGGTAAAGGTTATCTTAATGGTTCGAGAATAATTTACAAGTCTAATGTAAATTGGGAATATTAAACAAGGTTCAGATTATGAGTTCGTACCCTGATTACCTGAATATGATATAAAACAAGAATCTGCTGTTGAAAGTTGATGTAACTGTTTATTGGAACTGATTTTTTTCCTTCCTCATCATAATTACATTTTGTCCTTTTGAACTGATAAAGTTTTAATTGAAATGATTATCGATGCAAAAATTGCTTAACCTTCAGGGGGTTTACCTTTTCATTTTTTGCTCTCGTTTAGATAACATGATATGAAACATGAATTTCGCCAATAATACAAAATATCATGGAGATTAATTTGAATTCTAGAAAACTACAGAGAAAAGAAAACTTTTCTTCGAGAATATAATAGTTGGATTTATTAATATGTTTACAGTTCTTTAAAAATTTTGTACTTTTCATATTATTATTTTATTCTTTTGAGCATAAGTTTTGTAATTAGGTGATTATGTTGATGGTAAACCAGAAAAACTACCAGAACTTTTTTTGCTCATCATCAACACTAAGAATTGAAGATAGTGAGTGAGTGAGTTTGGTAGTGAGAGAGTAAAAGAAAATGAAGAATATTTTATCTCATATGGTGAACTAATCTTCTTCAGATAAGTTCTATTTTTCTCCTTACTCATCTTTCTTATCAGACACAATCCCTTGGATTATATCATCTTATCGCAGAATACAAAGCGTAAAAAAAGATGTATTAGAATCATTTTTATCTTTCCTTTTACTCTTTAGACTCTTGATCAAAGATGAGGATGAAAACGATGATATTAGAAAGAAAAAGAGTTCCAGTTAATCTTCATCTTCTTTCTCTCTCTCTCTCTCTCTCTCTCTCTAAGATTAGAATTCATAGAATAATGATGATAGAATATTCTTGGTTAATTTATTATTCGATACTCTTGTCCGTTCTTACTATTCAGGGTATATTTCATTTCAAGAGAGAGAGAGAGAGAGAAATAAAAACGAATCATTATGATGACTGAACTTATTTTTCGTTTCAGGGGAACAGAAAACAAAAGATATTCTGTTTCATTTTTTTATTTCGATTTCATGAATAAATATTTACTTTTATCTTCCATGATGACGATTAAGATGATCATTATCATGGTGAATCAATGAACTCAGTGACCGTGAAAAGATATATATGTTAGATAAACAATGAAATGATGATGTTGAACTGAATTTCATATCTTTCTCTCTGAACCATTACCATGTTTATTTTTTGATCTTTTATGTGTAAAAATTATCACTAATAGAGGTGTATTCAGTCTGAGTGAGCTATTATCTTGATAAATATGATGAATTTGGTGAAAGTTATCACTGTTAAACGTTTTAATCTACCAGGGAAAATGTTATCATTATATTTTTTTTAAATTGATGGGATAAAATTTCCGAAAAAAAAAGTTGAACAAATGGATAAATGAATGAATTGAAACAATTGAACCAGATTCATGATAATGGACATTTAAGGTTAATCACCATGAAATAATCGATGACCGATTCACAAGATAACCCAAAGAATTTTTAGATTTTCATATAAATACATTTCTTTTCACCTATGGAATCGAATGAGAAAAAGAGAGAGAGAGAGAGAGCGAGAGAGAAAGAAAAAATATTCTTAATCATTACATGTTATCAACCGAATGAGAATTCAAATCTGGACAGATTGACTTTTCATTGAAATCGTTTCATCTGATTGTCTGTAAGAGAAAGTTAATCAAATTCAATAGGTGAATATCCCATGGTTATGATGGACTCAGAATTCTTGATAGTATTATTTGTTATTCTTATTACAACGCATTCTATTTGGATCTATGAGCAGAAAAATCTCTAAGGCAAATGCTCAATACTAGTTCGATGTTCATTCTACTTCACAGTTGGTAATCACATTGAATTTCGAATCTTTTTTTTTGCTCTTCCATTATCAGAATATATACTTTTCTTTTTCTTCTTCTTCTTCTTCTCATCCAATAATCAATTTCGGAAACGATATAAAATCGCGATGATGATGATGATGATGACGATGTTGTTATCACTTTACTATTTATCTTTCCAAAAGTGATATTATCCCTTTTTTCACATCAATGGCGATGAAATTTTATTTCCTCTTCGTTTCCATTTATATACAACAGTTCCACCTAAGAATATGATAATTATGGATCAAGATGGTCAAGTTCTTGATGGATTAGCTGGACCTTTTAATGAAGGAACTTCACTGGCCTTAACCTGCCAAACAATGGGTGGTAAGTTAATCAAGTCAATTACTTTATAATCACATTAGAATTTGAATATTCTTGATATACAGTGAAAAGCATGAGGGAAAAATAATACACACAACCGAGAATAGATGTTAATTGGTTGATGATTTAATTGGAATTGCAAATTTTGATTAGCCTGTTTATTGATGATATCGTTTTATTTGCAATCAAAATTTACAATCTATTGAGATTCACTTCTAAATTAACTGATTGTTCAAATGCATACAATTTATTCAAATCGCTGTCGACATTTCAAACTTACTAATGTATCAGAAATTCACAATTTTGATAATATAATATAATATTTATATGAGATTATTTCCTTCATCTCTTGTGTTCACAATCAATAATTGGCTTATTATAAATACTATTTTTCTCGTGATAATATTTGTTTTTTTCTGTTCAGAAACGAATCAGTTATCATGATGAAAAAAGTTCAGTAAAAATCAATCATCAACTGTTTACTTTTTTTTGTCTGATGAATGACAATCAAGTTGAATGAATTGAATTGAGAGAAAATCGTGTCAAAATTTCAATGATTTTCCATGATGATGGAGATTAATGAATCTGAAATAATAATAATCGTTTCTCTTTTCAGGACGTCCAACTCCAATTCTTTCATGGTGGTCAAATGGTCATCTAGTTGATAATAGTTATAACCATGGTGCCCTTGGTATTATAAGAAATACCCTGAAAATATCATCTCTCAATAGAAGTGACCTGTTAACAAATTTAGAGTGTAGAGCTTCAAATGATAATCAAACCGTCCTGTTAACTAAATCAATTACATTAGATTTAAATTGTAAGTTTTAATCATAATCACTCATGTTGTTTGTTTGTTGGTTTAATTTAATTTTCCAATTGTAACGGTTAATTCAATTGAATTAACTTTTATGACTTTTTCATCAATTACTTATACTAATTTATAGTTGTAATAGTTTCCTGATTTAGTTTGCTTTTGTTTTCTGTTGCCTTTTTTTTTAAATAATAGAAAACAATTTACAACAATTAACCTTTTAACCAGTTTGATTGTAACAATTTATATCTAAAGATATATGTTTATAATGATTATCTTTAAATTGTTGGTGATAATTTACCTTGAGATTAACAATGATTCTCATTATCTTTTTTTTCCTCTACTCTTATTATTTGTTTTCTCTGTGTAATCAATTTAATTTATATCCTGTTTCCTTTTTGATATGACTGTCTTTATGTGGCTCTCTCTCTTTCTCTCTGTGTGCATTTAATAGTTGATTGATTGTTAACAATTAGTGTCAAATTTAATTTATAATTTAATGTTTTTCTAATTTTATTATAGTGAAACCTTTGGATATTAGATTAACTAAATTAACTAGACCACTTTCATCGGGAAATAAAGCTGAACTTGAGTGCCTTACCTATGGGTCTAAACCTGATGCCCAGTTAACTTGGTGGAAGGGCAGTAAAAGGTTAACCAATGCTCGAGAAAAAATGTCAACAGATACAAATGTAACAATTAGTAAATTGTCGTTCATTGCTACAACAGAGGATAATGGTAGATACATTTCATGTCGAGCTGAAAACTCAGCATTCAATTCATCACCAATTGAAGATGGTTTTAATCTACTAGTAAATTGTAAGTTAATTGTTGTTACTGTTGTTTTTTTTTCAACGGTTAATCTGATTGATTTACTAATTTAATTATTTGTGTCTTTTTTTCCTCGTTCAGATTTACCACAATTAACTATCAACTTAGGTGCCAATATTAAGAGAGACTCAATTCGTGAGGATAATGATGTTTTCCTTGAGTGTTCAGTTAAATCAAATCCACCGGTCAGTGAAATACTCTGGACATTTGAAGGTGAACCTTTAAGGAGTAATATTAGCCAAGGGATTATCGCTTCGAATCATTCATTGGTCATCCAAAGGGTTAAACGAATACACCGTGGATATTATCGTTGTATCGCTCGTAACACCGAAGGTCAATCTACAAGTGATCCTTTTTTCCTTCGAGTCAAATGTAAGTCAACTTCTTCTCTCTCTCTCTCTCTCTATCTGACGATTGAATGGAAAAAGAAAAAAAGTTCTTCCGTCAAAATAATAACCTTATTCTGTTTTTTCTTCATGTTTTTTTCTTCATGAGTTTTTCTGAATCATTTCTTTTTTTTGTTGCTCTATCATTGGAAACTTTGAACAATATAATTTCTGATTCTTGTCTCATTTTCCAACATCATCATAACATTTTGAGGTTGAATGTGTGGTTAAGTAGATATATCTACTTGTTAAGCTATCATTTCGAGCTTAGAACTTTTTGATAATAGTTCGAAAAGGGAGAAAAAGAAATTTTCTTCTAAAGAAATTGAATCAATATTGTATATGAGTTTCTTGGGAGTAATTTTCGGGTAACTTGTTTTCTCAAATTATTTCATAAAACTTGTCAAATTTTCGTCTGATTACATGGAAGGTGGGAAAGGTTTACCTCGACAAATTATTGTTCATTATTTTTCTGTTCCATCATGAAAATCTATCATCAACAGAATTTCAGATTAAACCAAAGTTACGAAAAAAATAATCATCAAAATTGTTTTGTATATTCACTGCTTTTCCTATGCTATTATATTAGGCTGGCCAAAGCAAACGAGTAAACGATATTTTTCGAATAACTTTTTTGTTAATTATTTGATTTTTATGAAACTTACTCAGGTTGTTGTTCATATATTCAACTGTCATTTTGTCATTTTTCAAAAAATTTCGAATTGCCGAATTTCGTATACAGGGTCTCAAACAAAAAGGTCATATACAGACCGTTTGGCACTATTTTAAAATTAGCTTTTTCCATCAAATATATCACTCATCTTTAGAATGAATAGTTTATATTTGATATGATCTATTGTAAATTTGTTCTAAAACCTATGAAATTTGTTCAGTTCTCTGAATATTGATTTTCAGATAAATTTGTTTTTCCTTTCTTTTAATATCTTCGAACTTTTGACTTGAATTCGAACTTTTTTTTACATATCATAAACTAAAGAATTCTGGCTCTAACATGACATAAAATAAATCGACAAAAGTTCATTGGTTTTCGAATTATCGGGAAAATACTAATTACTCGTTTGCTTTGGCCAGCCTAATAAATAGTTTGATACTTCGGACATCTCTATATATACTTGACCATTGACTTGAAATTCTCAGATTCTCGAAGATTTCATGATGACTGTTGACTTTTCTCCCATCCCCTTGCCCTTAATTTCATCATGTTTACTTGTTTGTTTTATTTACCTTTAACCAATAGAGTTTGTTGTTTATTTGTTTTCGAAACTTTTGTCTGAAAGTTTAATGTTTTTACTCAAGTTAATCTGAGATTATCTTTATCACCCAAGAAAAAAGTGATTCGTGTTGAAATGATAATGATGATTATGGTTATTATGAGAAACTTAAAGATTAAGAAAACTTTTTTTTCTTGTCTGGAGGTTAAGGGTCAGTTTGCAAATGATAAAATTGATCACAAGTAAGAGAGAATTACCCAATTTCTGACAAAAACAATGATAAATGTTTTTCTATAAGTTCCATTAACACTTTTGGAAAAGAGAGAGAGATGCAGAGTTAGAGTGAGAATATAAGATGATGATGATGATGATGAAGGAGGAGATGAGAGGATGAAAGGAAAAGATGAGGATGAGTAAGGATGATTTCTACTTATTGATGAATGAAAAATGTTGATAACACAATGGGAGTGGAAAATGTTGGTAAAGGCAAAGGGCGTTATCCTTTTAGTAAAAACTCTGGAATGGTCTGTTAATGAATGTTCTGAATTCTGATATTAGAGATAATAGTTAACAGATAGAAATTGAGAATAGTAATTAATTAAAATCACTATTGACTTTTATGAGAATTTATCATCTAAGAAGAGAAGAAGAAACCTGAAGATTATCTCTATTGAATATTGTTGATAATCTTTTTTTCTTCGTCTTCTCATAATGAATAATTGATTCAATTAGCTTTCGATTTGCGAAATTGAAAATTTCATCCTAATTAATTTGAGGCTAGAAATTTTCAATTTCAATTTATTATTCAGCGTAAATTCATCTCTGATTTTCTATCTCTTTCTTTGCTTTTTTTATCAATTGTTTATCGTATTCGATGACAATTTAAGAATTGAAGTGATATTATCATAATTTAACATCGTTATCCAAATACATGATGAAACATAACAATCAGTTGATGTTTTTACTATTATATCACCGATTCTCAGATGATAATAAATTGTGAAATTCACCTCGACTTGGGTTGATGTAATACTTTCACTTTATTCATTTTGTTTTCATTTTCTTCAAGATAAACTATCAGCTTATTTCAACATTTACCATGAGATTTACAGGAATCGTGATAAATTTAACTTATTTTTATTCTCAACTCGAACTCATGGAATTGAACTTTCTTACCTAAAGTCACTATTTTCCTATTCAATCTTAATCATCTTTTCTTTTCACCCATGGACTTACAGACAGGTCACTTTATCATCTATTATCGAATATATTTCATCTGATTCTAGAGTAACTTTCTTATCCATTTTTGTTTGTTTTTTTCAACATGCAAACAAAAAGTTTACGAAAATTGTTCATTACATGTCAGGTTAATTCTTGGTGATGTGAATTTCAAAACGAAATCATAGATTTCCAAATGAATCTAAGTGAATTTTTCTTTTCTTTTCTAACCAAGAATAGAAAGAGAGAGGGGTGGGTGGGGAAAATTCTGAACTCAAATGTTTTGAATTTTGTGAATTCGAATAAAGAATAAGAAAAAGAAAAAAATGTCAGCCAACTGAGAAAAATTCTCATGCAATTTTCTTTCACAACTACTGAATACAAAGTAGCATTCAGGAAGAATTCAGCTGAACCTTGTTAACTTGATTTTCCATCAGAAATTTTCAACTTCCCTCATATTATTTGCTCTCTTTCATGGTGACTTTTCTTCTACATCTTAATCATTGAATTTACTCTTATGCTAAATCAGAGCAATTAAATTCTGAAAAAAAAGTTCCAATAATGACTCTTACATTTTGATGGCAATTAATTGGGTTGAGACTCATTTACTCATAAATTTTCATCTCAATTCCTACTTTTTTTTTCATTCCTTCAAATTTGTTAAAATGTTCAAGTATTATTATGATACTGAACATGTAAATGTTATCTATCTTGTTGAATAATAAAGTCAAGGTTAAATATATGTTAAAGTGTCATTTCAAGTTCTGAAGAAACATGAAGAAAGTACAAGTTACTTACATGATCTTTTCTCTCTCTCCTCATGATAAACATTTTCCATCATGTATCATGATGATCATCATGAATTTCAAGATTGTCTTTTGTTTCTTTACATATATTTATTTATATTTATATATATAATGTCTTCAGTGGATAACAAAAGATTTCATCTCATCATGAAATTCAACATTAGAAAAGTTTATCAATAGTTAATCGTATGGTGTCAGTGTATTTTACTTATCCTATTATTCATATCCCAATAAACTGCATCTAAACTGTGATAAGTTTTAAATATTTTGCAATTTTGTGATAAAAAAATAGACAAAAAATATATAAAATAACATGGAAATGTTTCATTAGTATTATATGAATCATTGAAATGATCCTGTTTATTTTTCTCTCCCTGGAATTGTGAAATTGAAGTATTCATCTTAATCTGATTCAATATTCATGTCAATTCTGTAAAACTGATAAATATCGTTTTAAATATTTTGATTTGATTAGATTAACTCTAAGTACTTATAACAAGACTATTCAGATTATCAACTTTGAAACTCTGAATAATAATAATCTAAAATATTGAACAAGATAGAGCCGATTCTGAGAATTCTGAGTATTCACTTTAAATCAATGAAAATAATACCCAACAGATTAACCGTTTAAATTTTTTGATCATTAATCTCAAATGATAATCTTGATTCTTAAGAAATAACTTGATAGATTAACATGATGAAAATATCATGGAAAATATTTCCTCCTGACAAAGATAAGTATTACATGAATACATACACCTAGAGACTGAATATCTAATAACTCGAGTTGATTGATATTTACTGAACTTTTTTTTCTGATAAAATGTGAATGAATAATTGACTGAGATCATTAGATTTTCTCAACGATTTTTCCTCCTTACATTTCTATTCATAATTATAATCAGGGTCTTCTTTTTTTTCTGGAAAGTAAAAAAGTTCTGTCATTCAGCTGAGAGAAAAGTATATCTTTCATCTAATAGTATTGAATCGAGTCAATAATCATCATCTTCTGGATGATCTCTCTCTCTCTATCATAATATTTACTTGGAAAGTGAAAGTTATCAGTTTTTTTGTTGATTCTTTTTCACCCTGAAATCATTTTGAGATGCAAATAAATATCCAAATAGCTGGAATTGTGTCTTAGTTATTATTATATTTTCCTTGAAACTGCTTCATGATAATATAAAGTTGCATGTGTAATAATCACCATGAATAATATTAAAAAAAGATGAATTGAAATGCAAATGGCATTAAATAGTCTGAATAACTTGATGATTCCCTTTTATTTTTACAATAACAGGGAAAGAAATAAAAACAAAATTCTGAAATCACAACTGAATAGGAAAAGAGAAATGTTTCTCAATTCATTTCAATCATCAACCTCTGAATTATCATGTATTATATAAGCACTTTTTTTTATATTATTTCATGGAAAATGTTTTAAATATTAACCAGAGAAACTGTTGTTGACATTAAATACATCATAATCATAGATGAATGTTATTATGTAACAATTAATAACTTTATCACTGTTTGATTTTTTTTATTATCTTTTGTTTAATTCTGATTCTGATTATGTTTCTGTCATTTCAAAACTATCAGATTAATTATTTGACAAACATACAAAATAATTTGAAACAATTCCAACAATTATAATGATCTTTAATCATGATAATGTTGATGCTGATATATACTGATGATAATACATGAAATCATTTCTAATCCTT